CAATTCACTAACTTGCCTTGTCATCAAAAACTCCCCATGGAAAACTTTTACCCAAATTCATTCATACTGACCTACTTTATTAGTTCTCCTTGAGAATCAAAGAAAGATCATGATAGTCACAAAGGAAGCTTTTCTACTTCTAGTTACTACCATCAAATGGTAGGGAGAAATGAAAAAAAAACAAAAACAAAAACCTCAAACCCACCAGTTACTTTTGCTTTTTAGGTTTGTGTTCTGTATCCCATTAAAGTAGAGAATGTCTATTTCTAGTCTCTGTGTACAAGTTCCTGATTTCAATGTGGCCAAATCCACTGAACTAATAGACACACATATACAGATCTTTTAATAATGTAAACAATTATAATGTCTCTAGATACCTTTCCACATTTCAATCTTGTCTACTCTGCAAAGTTCACAAAATCCCAAGAGAGAATGATTTAACAAAATCTTTGAGCTTGTACAATTGAAAATATTTCTTACAGTATGAGGCAGGGAATCGATGTAGATGTGTACTAAAAGCTGAACATCAAAAGAAAGTGGCAAAATCCATTTTAGCAGGATCAAAGTGCATTAATCTTGCCAGCACGAAATTGCAATGTAAACACTATGAAAGGTAAACAGAGTTAGAAAGGATTCTCTCATCTGCATAGTTTAAATGGTATGCCTTTGGGGAAGAAACTCTGTCTTTACAGGTACTGTGGTACTTCTGCAATGCCCTGAGCACATGGTAGAAGCTGAACAAATAACCATATGTAATAATCTTGGACCAATGCTATCATGTGAAGTATGGAATCTTTAGTCATGATAATAGCAATAAACGCTGAGTAAATACACATCTTTTCTTTCCCCCTTTATCTCCTTTACCACCCCCTTGACATTCTCCCACACCTCATCCCACAGATGGCATTTCTTGCAAAATTCACGTTTGGGCACCACCTGCCACTTGTAACAGTATCACTCTGTCGAAATATTTTTAGCAGCTGCAAATTAAACTGTCCTTCAGGTGCAATCTCACACTTAATGAAAATGACACCTTGGCACAGGACACCCGGCTGCCTTTATGATTCATTTGGCAGCTTCAGCTTATTTAAATAATGAACACATTTTGCTGCTCTCAGCATTAGGATCAATCTAAATCTCTGGTACAGAAACATTTTGACCAGCCTTTGGCTGGACCTATCCTTTCCACCAAAAAGCCACCAGAGAATAAGAACACACAACTAAAACTGTAGAAACGTATGCTTTTTCTTTTAAATGAATTTAATAGGATGATTAATTAAAATTTTTGGGTGTCTAAGTTAGAACATATATTGGCTTTTTAGGACATAAATTACACATAGTTCATTTGGATGGAGGATGGAATAAATGATTACAAGCTCTTATGCAGGTGACCCAAGAACTAGTTAGTCTGACACCATGAAATAGGCCTCTTGTTAAGCATGATAGAAAGTTCCAGAGCAGAAAGGGAACATAAACCCACTGAAGGGAAACAACTCAAATTATCGCTCTCTCTCTCTTTTTCTCTGAATTAACTGTGACACTGTCTATGAGAGGAAAAGGAAGGCTTAAAAATTTATATAGTTCACAAAACATACATACATAGTTTTATTTTCTTCATACTTGAAAGGCAGCTCCACTGACATTCTGACCATTCATGCAAGAAAATCCTTGCTAAACATACTTTCAATTTTCAATATAAAAAGAAACAAATTCTCTCTTCACTGTATAAAGATAAACTCTTGGGTCAATTATCATATGGTTTCACTTATTTGTGGAGCATAACAAATAGCATGGAGGACAAGGGGAGATGGAGAGGAGAAGGGAGTTGAGGGAAATTGGAAGGGGAGGTGAACCATGAGAGACTATGGACTCTGAAAAACAATCTGAGGGTTTTGAAGGGGCGGGGGGTGGGAGGTTGGGGGAACCAGGTGGTGGGTATTGGAGAGGGCACGGATTGCATGGAGCACTGGGTGTGGTGCAAAAGCAATGAATACTGTTACACTGAAAAGAAATAAAAATTTAAAAAAAATTATAGAATTCTTGAAAGAAAAAAAAAAGATAAACTCTCGGGGGGTGCCTGGGTGACTCAGTCTGTTAAACGAGGGACTCCTGATTTCAGCTCACATCATGATCTCAAGTTCACGAGATCAAGCCCTGCATGGGGCTCTGTGCTCAGCTGGAAGTCTGCTTGAGGTTCTCTCTCTCCTTCTCCCTTTGCCCTTCCCCTCTGCTCACACACCCGCTCACACACACAGATAAGCACGCATGCACACACATAGTCTCTCCTGCTCAAAGAAAGAAAGAAAATCTTAAAAAAACCCTATGATAGGCCTCAAATAAAACTGGATAGAAACCTGACTTCTCACAACCACTAGATCTGTAACTTCAAAGAATTAATGTCAACTAGCCTCGGTTTCCTTATATGTCAAAAAGCACCTATCTCTGAGGGGTGTTGGGAGAATTACATTAGAGAATACATCTACATCTACATCTGTATGTTTGTCTATCCATCTATATACTGATCGATCGATCTATGTTCTATTTCTTTCTACCTACCCACCTACCTATGTCAGCATATCGTAGGCCTTCAAAATTGCTAGCTGCTATTATTTTATAACACCATTTATAAAACTTTGTGAAATATCTTCCATAAATACATGTTTAAAAGTTAATGGTAATAGAAACTTAGATTGCTAATTAAAGCAAGTTGAATCAGAAGCCAGCTGATAAAGAAGCTATAAACCTATTAAAGAGCACTGAGAAGAATAAAGGCAAATTGTAAATTATGTAAATTTTAAGACTGTATTTTTATAATAAAAAAAGATTTCCAATGTCACAGACTCAGGCTTCAAAATACTTCTAAGCTAGCTAGCAGGACAACTGGTGACAGGGAAAAATCATCACCAGGTGACACCCAACACACCAGAGTGGCAGTCATAGTGACTGGCTTCTTCCTCTTTCAGCTTTGCTGCAACATAAAGAGGGGGCAAAAAGCCCCAAAGAATGAAAAGACTGTGAATGGGAACTCCAGCACATGGGGAATGCAGGGAATGCAGCCTAAAGTCATCTCACATTCTTTGCTAACAACCTAAGCAGAATGGATATATCATTTTTGGCTGTGGAAGAGAAAAATCTCTAGCCGCCAAGGAACGGGCCTGGAAAAACTTTTGATGCTTCGCTGGCTGGGAAACTATGAACAGCCCTTGGGGTAGTTTAAATGGTTCAAGATGAGTCACGTGAAGATAGAGAGAAACCTGATCAGACCGGAAATGAGTACGAATGGTGAGGGAAGATATCAGTACCATTTACTATGCCCTTCCTTGTGCTTTTTGTCCATTATTCTGATCCACGCCTGTCCCAGAAAGAAAGCCTGACACTAAGACTCCGCAAATGCCCAAAGTGCCCTCTAGTAACTGGGAAGGCTAGTACGTGAACAAGAGCTGAGTTCTTCCTACTGTACCAGGTCGCCACAAGTATTTACACCTATGTATTTTGCAATAATGTCTCTAAGCTGCATATTTGGCTGTTTTGTTTACTATTTTAATAAAGAGATCAGCATTTAACATCAATAAAAAATCGGTGAAAAACCTTGCAGCTCTTTACCACCACAAAATAAGGCTATTTAAACTACTGGGTCATAACCAAACAAACTCCACAAGTTTTCTTAACTGAAACTAAATTAATGAAGAGGATGTGGAAAGACTTTGGGATGCTGGACCTAGAAGAAGAAACCCATGTAGTGATCACGGACATCACTGGGGAGTGAGGTGCCTCCACCTCTGTATGTCACCAAGTTTAACTACCTTACAGTTTCCCTTATTCAACCCTACAGTCAAAGAGAAAATGTTTTTCCATTTTCATCTTTTCAGTTTCATCTCCTGTATCTACTAGGTTGGCTTTTCTGATCAATTCTGTCCCTAATACAGTTTTTACTGTATTTCCTCCTTACTTTTATCTTAATTCAAGTTCTCTCATCTCTCCCCTGAATATTTCTCTGCCTTCTTACTCCTGCTTCAAATCATTCTTCCCACTGACATTTCATGTGCTCAGTTTTATTGACAGTTGTCCATTAGCTAAACAATTAATTTAGACTCCTTGAAAAGGCATTCAGGGTAGGGGTGCCTGGGTGGCTCAGTCAGTTAAGTGTCCTACTCGAGATTTTGGCTCAGGTCATGATCTCAGGTGGAGATCAAGCCTGAGCAGCTCTGCACTGGGCCTGGAGCCTGCTTAGGATTCTCCCTCACCCCCTTTTCCCCCACATGCGTGCACTCTTTCTTTCTCTCTCACAAAAAAATGCATTCAGGTCTTTGTTACCTATCCCCCAAATATAATTCTAGGCTTAGCTCCTACTGCATTTTCCCCTATACCTTTCCATCTCACTACTTTGGATTTCCAGAACTTTCATTCTTAAATAACTTCACTTACATGAATTCTCTATGAGGAATCATGCCAATTTTTCAAGGCCTTTTTCACATACCTTTCAAAAATACTTTAAATTATTCAGGTAAAACTTTGTCTTCTGGGTTTCCATAATATTTTGTTTAAATTTCAGTTAGAGTAGTTATATCTTCCCAACTGCTCTGGATTATTTCCCATAGTGATACAACATGTTTCTTCACTAATTTATTTTTATTTATTTATTTTTTGAGATTCAGAGAGAGAGAGAGGAAGAGCAAACAAGCACAGAGAACAAGCAGGGGGAGCTGCAGGCTCCTTGCTAAGCAAGTGGGGCTCAATCCCAAGGACCTGGAATCATGACCTGAGCTGAAGGCAAACGTGTAACCAACTGAGCCACCCAGGTGTCCCCACTAAGTTCTTTTTAGGCAGGATTTTGTCATTCATCTTCAAATCCCCTTATAGGATACTGTATTATACTTTAAGATACTTGCTTGCTAACTTGATCTCAATTGAACACTATTCTATTTATGTAATTGTCTTACAGTTTGTAAACCGCCTTCACATGGAAGATGGCAGTTAAACCGTGTAGTAGTTAAGGGGCTCTCACACTATTCAGCTCAGTTCTGCTACTTATTGTGTGACTATGAACAAATTATTTGACATATTTGCATCTCAAATTCTCATTCTAAGGTAAGAATACGGAGATGTTATAAAGAACATATGACTGGGATGCTTGGGTGGCTCTGGGTTGAGTGTCTGCTCAAGTCATGATCTCAGGGTCCTGGGATCCAGCAGGCTCCCTGCTCAGTGGGGAACCTGCTTCTCCCTCTATTTGCCACTCCCTCTGCTTGTTCTCTTTCTCTCTCTGACAAATAAACATTAAAAAAAAAAAAAAGGACCAATGATCTAACAGAACTAAGACACATGTAGGTAGAAGAATGTACTATTATAAAATACGACTGTCCTTTTTGTGATCCCATGGTTGGTTACCTTTGCTTCACTGTTTAGCCATATGCTGTTCACCAGAGTGGCGGGGGGAAACAACAACAACAAAAACGTATTATTGAAGTCAACAAAGAATAAGTATCTTTTAAAAAAAAGAACAGGAGTGGAAGCTTCAGGGCAAAAACAAAGAGCAAATCAATTGCTGCTTTTTTTCACATCAGATAGCTATAATGAAGGAGAAGATCAAAATGAGTCAGAAACTAAAAAGAGCAGCAGTGACATTCTCCTCTATACTGACTTAGATAAAGACATATGGTTTAAAAGATTCAAAAGAAGTTTTACTCTTAATGCTGGGACTTGAAGAGCTATACTCAGAGCCCAACAAAACTTGGTGTGCTGTGATATTACAGGTCTTTCCTTGTATTCTGTGTCAACAAATTAATTTATACCATGAAGTATACTCATCACCCTTCCAGTAGTTAAATTATTGTTGTTTTTAATTACATTAAGTATAAGAAAGAACATACGGTTGTGTATAACCATTATGAGATAATCAAATGTTATTTTAGCTGTTAAATGAAAGAATATAAAAAAGAAAAAGAAATACTCAAAGTATACCATTCAATGCTTACTGCCTCTCACACTTTGCCATAAAACTGGTTTTGATTTATCTTAATCAATTTGACTCCCCAATTCATAAATATTCTTTGTGTGACATTATTTGGCTGACTTTTGACCAACTTTACTAGTATTGCATATTTAGTTCTTAAGAATCAGTGTCTCCATCATTTCTATGCTTGCTCCTCAAAGTATCTGATCTTCCTCAAGGCTACCTTATTTGTTGAAGTCACTCAACAAAGCAGCCTGGGATTAGTCTTGACTTTTTTCTCTATGTTGACATTTTATCAATCATCAAGTTTTATTTTTTTCTCTTAAACTTCTATAGTATCTATCTTTATCCTTCACGTCTTAATGTAGGTCCTTAATTTTTTTCTACCCTTTAAATAGTTTTTTGAGCTTCTTGTTATCAGTCTCACCTTCCTACGATTATTTCTTTCACATAATGCCAAGAGTGACTTCACCAATATTCAATTTGTTTACACCAATCCATTGTTTAACATTCTCTGTTAACATAGTTTTTGGTGGGAGTGTAATATCGTCTGGCATTTTTTAAAAAACCAAACATACACCTACCCTATGATTTAGTCATTTCATTCCTAGTTATTTGAGAGAAATGAAAGCAAATGTCTACAATAAGATTTGAACAAGAATGTTTACAATAGGGCGCCTGGGTGGCTCAGTGGGTTAAAGCCTCTGTCTTCGGCTCAGGTCATGCTCCCAGGGTCCTGGAATCAAGCCCCGCATCGGGCTCTCTGCTCAGCAGGGAGCCTGCTTCCTCCTCTCTCTCTGCCTGCTTCTCTGCCTACTTGTGATCTTTGTCTGTCAAATAAATAAATAAAATCTTAAAAAAAAAAAAAAAGAATGTTTATAGTAGCTTCATTACACCCAGGTGTCTATCATTAGGAAAAGACACAGTGTGGTATATCCATACAATTAAATACACAGCAATAAAAAGAACAAATTACTGATATATGTAGTGACATGATGGACTTCAAAACCATTACAATAAGACAGCACATATTGTATAAATCCATTTATAGGAATTTCTATTCTCTTTTATTCTAGAGTAATCTATCATGGAAAACTCAGAACAATGGTTCCTCTGGGGGTAAGTAGATGGGGGGACTCATTGGGAAAGCACATAAGAAAACTTGCTGGAGTGCTCCAGATCTTGACAGGCTTTTGGGTTACAGACAGTTATCGTTTGTCAAACTGTCACTGAATAGTACACTTAAGATTAGTGTACTTCATTGCATATAAATTTTCTCTGAATCGAAAATATCCATACACAAATATTAAACACATATTATCGTTAATCATATAAGAAAGGTGTTCTGATATCTGCAATATACTTTGAATTCATAAAAAAAAGATGGTTGACAGATGAAGAGGAATGGATGGATAGATAGATACATAATAAATTATAAATTGCAAATTTGTAGAATCTACATGGAAAATGAAGACCAGAACTATATATGGTTAATGTAATCATCTATAAAATTATTCTAATTTCCTGTAATTGAAATTTTTCATAGAAAATAATTGAAAAAACACTTCTATGCCTCCTGAAAGCTATTAAAAAGTTGTATTTTTTCCCTACATTAGGTACATAAAAGGGTTAAGATGAAATTAAGAAAGTAAAATAAATAAAATAATTGTTATCTGTGTGTAAATAAAATAATTGCTATGGATGGTGAATAAAAGTTTACTTTTCTTACACTAATACTTATTTTTATGGCTCAGTCTTAAACTCACACTGCAGCATAATCAATAAATTCAAATAAAACTGAACTTGAGCTCCAAGCATTACTTAGATTTTCTGAAGATGCAAATTTGGTATAGTAAAATCTTCATTGTAAGGTGGGTTGTCTATAGACAACATGTATGTTCTTTTTACTTAATTATTATGGTCTTTAACCTCATCTATTCCAACAGGAATATTTTTATATGATTATCTACATTTTTATATGATTATCTATGTTCAGAAAGTAAATTGGTAATAAATATTTGTGTGTATGTATATGTATGTGTTTTTAAGAAAATACATTTTGTGTTTTTGTTGTTGATTTACCTATCACGTATATCTTATAATTAATTGTTTTGTTGAATTTATCAAATTACAGGAACATAATGTTTATTAGTACAAAGTAGTTTTTAAGGAGTGATTAATATATTAATCTAATTTTACTAAATGGATATATCAGGAGTTCATATGACTATTTTATTCTTACTATTTACTTATTTCGAAAGGTTTATTTATTTCAGAGAGAGAAATTGCTGTAGGTGCATGCACAACTGGGGGGAGGGGCAGAAGGAGAGACTCTCAAGCGGACTCCTCCCCACTCCCCAGCTAAGCACAGAGCCAGATTCAGGGCACCATCTCATGACCCTGAGATCATGACCTAAGCCAAAAACCAAGAGTCAGATGCTCAACTGACTGAGCCACCCAGATGCTCCTCTTTTCTTCTTCTTATTTAATGGTTGTTAATTATCTATCAAAATATGGTCTATGTTTCTACCCTTTTATCTTATAAATATATGGTCTTTTTAATTGCTTGATTATAAAAGAAGCAATTATTCAATATTTCTATGTGTGAATGATATAATTATGTTCCTTAATCACTATATATCATAGTGATCTTTTCTACTGCAGATTTTGGGAGCTGCATATGATGTCCTGTTACTTACAAGTACACTATCTACAATGGTTTAGCGGTCTGTGTTTTATCCTGTTAAATATGGATTAGAAATATTTTGATGTCTTTAAGATTTATTTCAGTTACCTCAACTATAATGTTTTTAGGCATTTCCATAATTTTTGACTATTTAGTTCCTCTTAACTACAGGAAGTTACAATATTTATAGATGCTTCCTTGTATGAGAACCTAAATAAATTCATACTATGAATGCACTCATCCATCATTATAAGCTGTTCTTTGAACCTCTACATTTATTATGTTTTTGAATTATGTTAAATATAAACTACTGTATGATTAGATTAGAACATTTGTTTTTTGAGAAGATCAGATGCAATTTCACAGAGGAAATAATCCCCCTTTTTTTTTAATTATCTCATAATGACTACACATACAGTATACATGTTGTTGTAGGTAATAATTTAGATATCAATTTTCATTGCATTTAAAGACAGAAAGGACTTAATATAGAATTTTTTCCCAATAAACTCCTATAAAATTAAAAAGGTTTGGAAAAAAAGACAATTATCCTTTAGTATTTTTTCATTACAGGAACTTTCAATATGAAGAGAAATTAAATGGAATACACATTATATAATCCCTGCTCTCTAAATACAAAATCATGTTATCACTGAAGTCTATGATCATAAAGTAATTACAATATTTTGCATACAATACAAAATAAAAATAAATTTCAAACTTTGATGAAGAAAACCAAGGCAGCAAACCCTCATTTTCTACAACCAAAGAAAACAGGACTTTCTATTTAGAGAAGTCATTTTTCCATGATAACGAGTAATTTATATGATCTTACTGAGTAGTCACTTCACACTAAAACTTTCTCTTAAAGAGGAAATTGTTAGCAGTTCAAAAAATGGTATTCCTGACTCACTTCATTCAAAATTATAGCACGTTTTTCTTCTCTTTGCCAGAAAGTTCATCAAATTTTTTAGACAGTGTGCTTACTCTGCTTTATTAAATGAGATGAAACAAGTGCATTTATGTGTGGGTGATTTATTTTTTAAAAGTTTCAGTGCTTAAGCAATAAACTAAAAAAAAAAAAATTACCACACCAAAGATATATAGTACAGGTATGATTTAAACTCTCTGAGATGGAAGAAAAACATAACAGTATCTCCTTTCTACTATACTCCAATCCACGGTCATATCTCACTCATTGGTAACATATAAAATAAGAAAAACTATACTTATTTAAGATGCATTTTGGGGCGCCTGGGTAGCTCAGTCAGTTAACTGTCTGACTCCTGATTTCACCTCAAATGATGATCTCAAGGTCCTGAGATGGAGGCCTATGTACTGGGCTCCACACTCAGCGGGGAGCCCACTTCTTTTCCTTTCCCTCTGTCCCTTCCCCAACCACCCCCATACATGCATGCTCTCTCTAATAAATAAACCCATACATCTTTT